TAGGGCAGTTTTATTATACACTCACCTAAAGGATTATCAGGAACACCATACTAATACAGTGTTTGACCTAGGGGTTGTATGAACTAGTCAACTTCACTGCTCTGTAGTGACTTTTTATGCCCGTCATCGACTAGCCGCTGTCACGTGATAATGACCGACTAGATGCAGTCCTCGGAAAGGACAGCAGGTGACGAGCCCCTGCACGTTGGGAGGCGGAGGCGACGGGCTGTGCCAGAGCGTCGGTACTGACACTAGTGGTGTGCATTTCTACCTGCCTCACGATTCGATCCGATTCCGATTATCTGCCTAAAGCAGGGGTGTCAAACTCATTTTAGCTCAGGGGCCACATTGAGGGAAATCTAGTCCCAAGTGGGCCGGACCGGTAAAAAAAAAAAAAAAAAAACTTTAGATTGTTTTCTTTGTTTTAATACAATCAATATGAAACAAGGCTGGAGCCTGAGGACAGTGTAGTACAAGTACAACACCTGAAGTGTACTTGAAAATTTGAAAAAAAAAAATAAATAAAATCAATACATAATAAAAAAAATTCCTTAGTGATTCAAAGAGCTTACAGATCACATGGCAAGATCAGTTCCATGCAGCACTTAAAGTATATTCGACTCATTTTACTTTACATCTTTTAGCTTTCACCAGCACATCAATATCAGAAGTCACATCCTGAGTGGCAGCCAACTTCAGGATGGGATTCAAGTTCTTGTGTGAGCCTTGAGCGCAGCTTTGTTTTATTTATACTCGTTGCAGAGAAAACTTGCTCACAAAGATAAGTTTATTTTCACTCTACATTGTAAAATATGAAAATAAAGTTTTCACAACCATCTCGTGGGCCGGATTTAACCCGCTTGCGGGCCGCAACCGGCCCGCGGGCCGCATATTTGACACCCCTGGCCTAAAGATTCGATTTGAGTCTGAAATGCATCACGATTCTTCACACAAAATTTTTCATTACTTAATAAAAGCAGTAGAATAGTTTTCAATTGCTTTTTTATTTCGATGTCCCTGAAAAACAGAACATTCATCTATTCACTATAGTGAGCAACAATTTTTAAAGTTTGCTGCCTATAATTACTTACTATATATAAGAAATAGTGTTTTCTGTAGAGCAGCTTTAAGATAGAATACTACCGAACTTAAAAATAGTAAACAAATACTGTGTTAAGTGATTCTTTCACATCCAGGATCCCAAAACTGAAATTAGCCCACACATCCGATTTAAATGTAACGGGTACATCTTTGATTACTGTTAATGTTCGCCCTGTATCCCTGCCTGCCATTGTAGTTGTAAAACCTCAAAACTTTATTGTCCTTGCGTGTCCAGAACATAGACATAGGGAGAAAATCTCATTATGTCACGTTGCTGCATCGATGCACAATCGTGCATGGCTGAATCGCGATGAATCTTAGAATCGATCATTTTTCCCACCTCTAACTGACACCCGCCGTAAAACAGACATTTAACCAAATTGTGACCTTTACCCTCTTGCAATTTAACATTCCCCTCACCCCCATCCTAACCTTAACCAGCTTGCGCATGCAAAGCTCTGATCGTTGACGCGCTCCAGACATCTGCGTCCTGAGCACGGCCACAGTAACATCAGGTGTCACCACCTCTAAAACAAATTTAACACGCGATTGTTCATGTCGGCTCATTTCCTTTTATGTTTTCTGTCTTTTTTGTGTGCCTGATGCGTTTTGCTGCTGTGGAGCAGAGCGCATCACCTGTTTTGTCATCCGGTGACGCACCTCACTGATGCGGCCGGCGAGCAGCGTACATTCCGCTGTTTTTGCGGTCGGTAGATCTTTTAGAACTGCAGTTCAAAGGTAACTCATAAGGTGAATATATATGAACCCAGGTAGCAGTTTTTCTTCAGGATTGAGAGGAGATGCAGGAAGATAATAAACAGGCAGGACAGAAAAATAGTCAAATAAAAACAAGTTAGTTTTTGTACCTGGTGGTTGCAACAAACAGACACCATTGAAGGTAATCAGAAGTGAGGAACAGAAAATGAAATAATAATTTTAATGTTTAGAGCAGCAGGAACTCTTGAGAGGCTGCAGGCGCATCAGTGAGTTTGGGGCCGCTGCGCAGGGGGAGGGGGGAGAGGACTAAAGCAGAAACTACCGTTAAAAGAGATGTGTTTAACTTAGAAAATGTGGGTGCAATTTAAAATTTTAATTGTCAAAAACTCCAGCGAACCAACCAACACCCCCCCCCCCCCCCCCCCCCCCCCGTGCTGCTTCAGGTGTATGACGTCATCAACGACTAGTCAAAGTCGACTCGATTTTCATTACTTGACTGTCGACTTTTTAAAAAAATTAAGTCATGCAACCCCTAGTTTGACCTCCTTTCTCCTTCATAACTGCCTTAATTCTACGTGGCGTTGATTCAACAAGGTGCTGAAAGCATCCTTTAGAAATGTTGGCCCATATTGATAGGATAGCATCTTGCAGTTGATGGAGATTCGTGGGATGCACATCCAGGGCACGAAGCTCCCGTTCCACCACATCCCAAAGATGCTCTATCGGGTTGAGATCTGGTGACTGTGGGGGCCATTGTAGTTCAGTGAACTCATTGTCATGTTCAAGAAACCAATTTGAAATAATTCGAGCTTTATGACATGGTGCATTATCCTGCAGGAAATAGCCATCAGAGGATCGGTACACGGTGGTCATGAAGGGACATGGTCAGAAACAATGCTCAGGTAGCCCGTGGTATTTAAACCATGCACAACTGGCACTAAGGCTAAGTACACAGTGCAGGCTTTCTTGCTCAATTCCGATTTTTTGAGTAAATCTGATTTTTTTGTGTGGCCATTCACACTATGACTGAAATGCGACCTCATACTCTCTCCAGTGTGAACGCTTTGTGGCACCAAAGCGACCCACATGCGCAGAAGAGAAGAAGTCACACTCAGTGGAGCCGAAACCAGGAGCGGCGGAGCTGTGATGTAATCCTGATCCTGTGGTTAAACTATCAGTGAAAACTTTCACACCTGTCAATTCTTCCGTTTTGGGCTGGAAACTGTTTTAAAAACTGTAAACTACTTTACTCCTTGTTCCCTCCGTCTCCCTAAATTATTATTCACCGAAATGATTCAGTATTAATTCATTCTCGGAGAATCTCCGCCTCATGGAGACACTTCGCTCCAGCAGCACCTCCAGCTCCCATTCACATTATCTCTTGTATTTTTAATTCCTGAACTTAAAACAGGATGTCCAGACAGACTCCTGAACCCTTCTGTTGGCGCTTCTCCTCAGGAACATTCATACACGACGCTCATCTCTGCTGACTCAGTGACGTAGGAGACAGATTTAATGCGACATGACTGTTCAGACTGCAGTCGCTTTCAAAAACATCAGTTATGTGTCTGAATCAGTACATATTGTTACCAGCTGAGTCTGGCTCTTTAGGAAGGTCGCATTGTGGGAAGTCTTATGTTGTTGTAGCTCTATGATGATGGGGGAGGTGTGTTTTTTCTGCCAGTCTGCAGCCTGTTTGAGTGCGGACTCTCTTGCGTGTGTGCTTTTCATGTTCGACCATACAAGAAAGAAATAAGGGATATTCTTGATGTACAATCCGGGCTGTAGAGCAGACAGCAGATGATGTCGGCACTAGGAGAAGGTTTGCTGGGCTGATTCCCCGACGGCGCAGCACCACTGGCACAGAGCAGAGCTGTGGGCCCCCGGGGTCCCCGTGCAACTCCCAACGGGACCAGACATGGAACTGCCAGATCCAGGGATCGCCAAGAGGAACACAGACTGGGCTCCACGCCAACAGAGATCCTGAAGGAGGCGGTTGAACGAGCCAGAAAACCTTTAAGCCTCACCAATCGCCTGGCTCGACAGCCGCGATGGCGACGCTTCCAAACACGGAAGCGACACGGTATCCGACACAGGTAGAGGAGGTCCAGGGAGCAGCGGGCAAGAGGTATAATGGAAATCCTTCACAGCAGGCGGAGAAAGACACATTGCCAACCGTATGTCCAGAAGAGTAGAGCGATCATCATACTAAATGATTGCAATTATGGGGGGAAGAAAGTTCAGGAATATCGCCAAAAACAATAAAAGAAGACAGTGGGGTGGACGGCTGGCCAAGAACACCGGCGCCATCTTGCACTCGAGTCAGTCTCGTTATTTTGTTTTTATGTCTCCATGCACTTTACACCTTGCCATCTGGTGTAAAGGACTATGTGCTCTTTATTTATTTTATGAGCTTGTATGGACACATTGCACGCTCTCCAGTGTTGTTCCCTTTAAGTAATTACCTATACAGTACACACAGACTAGGTTCAGAAATCTTGTGCATCCACAGTTATTGGTGACAATTAAGCATTCAGATAAGGTGTCAAACATCAAGATATCGGCCATAAAATCGGCAGCACTTATTGGCCATCGGCTGACCACGACCACCTCAAATTGGTATCAGCAATAGAAAAACCAATATCGGTCAACCTCTAATTTATATATATACATATATATACATATATAGTGTACACTGGTGAGAAAAAAATGGTTCATCAAAGTAAACAACAGGAGATGTTCAGAAAGTTTTAAAGCCCATGTTTATCACGAACCGCATCTCATCTGCATTAACCTGCTTTTACAAAGATAGTCGGCCAGAATATTTAACTGAGGTTTTTCTACTCAACATCAGCCTCCTTAAACTCAAACCAGGTCTTTTTAACAGATGTTACCCTGTCTTTTTTACAAGCACGTCTCCACCTGCTGCAGAAACAGTTGTGGGTTCAGAAAATGGATGGATGTTTACATGCAGGATTTTTTATCTGATTTGGCCTTCAATCCGATTAATTATGCCCATGTAAACGTGGCTAGTGTGAGTTTGCTAAACTTAATAGTTTAAGTTAGTATTTTGTTGTTAAAAATTACACTTAAAATTCCAGCTTTCCTTTATGAATGGCATGACACTGCTCAACACCTCTACCTGTGCTTTATCCTAACGGTTCATGTGATTTCTTCTTCAGGTTGTTTGGGAACAACAGGAATGCTGATGTACGGTCTCCGTTCCTTCCATCAAGGAAAAACCAAACAGTCCCAGATGTTCATGAGAGGACGTATTTTTGCTCAAGGCTTCACCGTGGTTGCCATCATTGTTGGCATTTTTGCTACAGCTCTCAAACCCAAGCAGTGAAGATGGATGCGGTCTGACACTCGTGAAGTTATCTCCTTGCCCTGAGATTGGACCAGATCCAATGTGCGATTGGACTCAGAACAATCAACTATAACATGTTGTGTATGCAGCGTCCCTTAAATAAATTTAAGTATGAACTTGTCATGATAATACAAGTTTTTTTTGTTTGTTTCTGATGTTGCACAGAACAACAAAGTGGTATCAGCTAAGCTATTGTTGGTTCAGTTTAAAATTATTCATGTAAATGATTTTCCTTATAAAGTATGAACCCAATGCCTTATGTGTACACAATGCATCTATGTTCAGGAATAAAAAAAACCTCATATCCCTTTTAAACTATTTAAATGGACTGAAGTCCTCTCTAAACACCAAACGTCCATGAGGACAAAACTTAATATTGCATCACGAATGCAAAGAAAGAGATTTTAATTTAAAACTTGACTATTGAAGTCACGTCTCTTCAGAGTTTTTTATCAACTGTTTTAAGTGTGAGCAATTCCTCCTACACTTAAAGGAATCGGACTGTATGAAAGATGCTGAACCACACATCATTTTATTAAACTGATTCTCTTCAAGGTTTATTAAACAGCAACAAGCTCAGCAGGGACATAAGGATAAATGATTAGATGTGATACAGCATTTTTAGCTTTTAGCTCCTTTTCTACATTCAATTAATTATGTCCAAATAGGCAACGTGTGAACAATGCAGATATCATGAAAATGTGGTCCCTCATTTATCAAACTTTCATAGAAACTGTCCTACGTTCCACCCTGCTAACGAAATTTAGAATGTTTGTATGAATGGCAAAAATCCTGACTTGTGGAACATGTGACGGTCATTTGTACACGTGTTCCTCTGCAATTAACAGTTGATAAATCCCACATGTGCATATCTAGGTGCTCATGTCCATTCAGGTTTTGGTGTCACCACATCCTAAGCTCTTAAGGGGAATTCCTGTGTTCCACCACAAAAAAAAAAGAATAAATAAATGACAGCAAGATCAAGGCACTGGTTGCTAAAGTAGAACAAAACACGTTACAGAGGTTGTAAATGCAGTGGAAAAAACTGATTGAAAACCCATTCAGTAACAGACTGAATGTCCCATTCTGTTATTTACAGTTTACATTTAATGAGTTGTATGCATTTTCTTTATGGAGTTACTTTTGTTCTTGTTTAGGAATGTTTGCAGCCTCCTCTGACCCATCATTCAATTTGGTTACATTGGCAATGCATGTATTTTCAGGGAGCAGTGTGTGTGTTTGGGGGGTTCTCATAGGGGATCTCCCAGACTTCATGACACTGAGCTGTTATTTTTGCTGAAGCTGAAAATAAGAAAGTTAACTAATGGGGTGATTCATCACCCTTAAAATGCCACAGTATTTCTGGCATAATACGGCTCAGGGAGTGGTGGCAAGAAATTCTTAAAGACAAAGTCACACCCTACCAGAGTCTTACTCCACTCCCACTTCCTGTTTGAAAAATGCAACGAATGCCGTTGCCTGGCAGACAGAGTCGCTAACAAATTCACACACATAGGCTCACCACAACATTGTGACATCATATAAAAGACATTTTTACAAAACAATACCGTCAATTTGCCACAACCCTGTGGTGGAATCAGAGACTCTTAAGTTGCTTATAAGTGGACAAACCGTGGCGGTAATGTGATGCAATCATGTCCCTTTTACAAAAGATTAGGTGATGGCGGCATAAAGGGGGTATGGGGGCGGTCTCTGCGCTGCAGTGGACATCCATTTATCTTGGACATAACTTGCTTTTTATTGAGATTAAATCTGATCTTTTAAGTTTTTTTAAACAAGCCCCTCCTAAAGGTGTCTCTCCATCAGTCCCTGTGCATTCTCTGATGACCTGAGCTTCAGCTATAACAGAGATGCTCATGGAGCGCTGTGGTGCTCCAGTTTGCTGATTTTGTTCAAAAAGAAAAACTTATTGCCCATGTTTACTTTTCACTTTCAATATATTTACTGGCCAGAGCACGTCATCATGACACCTCCCTCTGCTGTGCCATGGCGCAATCGCCGTTTATAAGACAGACCATTACCGCATTACTGCCAAGCAAAGCGAAATGAATGCTGTAAAATACGCGCAACGCCATGCTAGTATGGAGCGTTTATAAAAGACAACATTGTCGTAATATTATGCCGATTTGCCGGCACGGTGTGTCTGGTAAAAAGGGTTTTAATGTACCAGCTAACATCATAGTTTACCTCTTAACCAATAGCGAAGGCAGATTTAAATTCAAATGCAGTGCTGCGTTTTTACCTGAAGATGGCACAACACTGAGTTTTAAGCTAAATATATTTTAACTAAGTGCAAAATTGTTGACATGTGTCTACAGCACACTCATTTATATAGTTTATCAGCAAAAGAAAGTTTATTTGGGGGTGACTTGCTCTTTAAGTTGTCAATAACGAATATGGACTTAGTCCCAAATCATGGAATAGCTCCATAAGCATCCACTTTGGGAAGATCAGCCTATTCACAGGAGACACGTTCCCACCAGAGTGCACACAATGCCACATCCTCCAATGACGAGATCAGCCATGCTAGAGTCAAATTCCTGTTGGTCACAAGTGTCTTTTATAGGTTCTAACCCCAAACAAAGCTGTTTTTCCATAGACATAATTGCTGATTGGGTTAAAAAAAATTTGTGCATGAACACTCATGGATGACTGAGATCTTCAGTGTGTGGTTTCCCCTGTTCCACCACTAGGTGCTGTGCATATGCATGGCCAGAGCCGTTCTTAAATTTAAGAACATTTCTACACACAAGTACAAGATGGTTAATACCACACAATACGTAAAAACCGTTCACATATTCAAACAGATCTGTGCTTAAAGAGCAAGTAACACCTAAATTAACTTTATTTTGATAACCTGTACAGATGTGTGTCTAATGGTGCTGTAGACACGTGTAATCATTAGTGTGGCAGTTTAGTGCAACTTACTTTAAATTTAATATTTCAGCCCAAAACCATAATTATATCCATCTTCAGGTTAAAAACTGCTCCACATTTATGTAGAATCAGCTACGTGGCGGCACTGCACTGGTCTCCAGGTGAGGCCGCTGCACCTCCACCTGGCTCAGCCACTCACCTGCTGATAGGACACGTTGGTGCTCTGAGCCGCTCGCCTCCTTGAAAAAAATGACCACCTCCCCTTTTCATCTAATGATCGTGGTTAACATGAAATCCTTCAGAATGCTGCAGAATCTGTATCGGCTTTTCTCCTGAGCTGCAAGTCTGGTGTGATTGTGTGCTGCGCTCATCAACTCGTTTTTAGATTGAGAAACTCCGACAGCACACGGGGAGGGGTAGAGGGGGGTGTGGTCTATCACTGCCTCAGTGCTGCTCTCTCAGTCTGCCAGGTGACGCCTCTTTCAGAAGCATTTTTCTAACAGGAAGTGTGGATGAAATACATCTCTACCCATGCCTTGACTCTCACTTTAAGTATGGCTGTCCATGATCTCTGAGTTTAGATGATGATTTAAGTTTTTGGTTGTGAGGCTGCTTTTTCTGTTTGTTTTGCTTCGTCTTGCCCAGTTAAATAGAAAATGATAACTGGTCTCAATGCAAATGTGTAGCAAGAGCCAGATCAGAAAGGCCACAAGCTAATGTTCATAACAGAAACGTGTTTGCTATGTAAAACTAGGAGATTCATGTAACTAAAATGAACATTCTACATAGACGAGACATGAATGAATACGATCTAGCCTACTGTTCTGAATTGGACCTAAGCCGTGGGGAAAAAAAAACTTTGCATTTTAAAATACTGGCCTACAATGATCTAAAATGTGTAAGTTAAATGTAAAAGGAAAGAGTTTATCTTGCAGTAACAATATTTTCTCTGGTATAATAGTGGTGATAAGAGAGTACTCCCATCACGTTATGCATAAAGAAAAGGCTTTTAAAAATGGGAAAATCACAAATTATTCAGGTACATTGTTAAAACTGAATAAAAGGCAATGTTATGAGCAGAAAACTCTCTAAAGCACATTTTCTAGCGAATTAGAGGCGTCTGCTTTAGGGAGATGAGGATGGAGCGCATTCGTGAAACATCCTTTGCTTGCTTGCTGGTTTTGGGATTGAAGTCACAGAGACGAGCTACTCGTTCCCATTCAGCTCCTGGGCCGTCACTTTCTGCCAGGAAGGCCTCCTCAGATGATCTGTGATTTGTGTGTGTTGGGGGGGGGGGGGGGGGGGGTACAAAAAAAAAATAAGAGTTAAAAATTGAAAGTTATGCAGATCTTTTTATCAATCATGTAAAATTAGTTGGGTAGATAGTTAACAGTCATGGTTACTTGAGGGGTTTTTCCAGGAGCACTACTCAGCCTGAAACAGCTCAGTACAGCATGGTTTGAATCAGTCCATATGAGTGTACTTTTATTCCCATGCCAGCTCCATGACACAAAGTGGGTGCCCCCTCATAGGTGGAGTTGCTGGTGTGGGGGTGCGAAATATTTACCCATGACAAAAAGGCATGAGGTGATCAGTAAACAGTCTAAGGTAACCTGTATGCTCCGCAGAAACACAACTCAGCTGAAAAGTTGTAGTGTTGCTAGGCATTTTGCTCAGTTTTACGGCTTTTTGTCAAACTCTGAACCAGGAAATGGGTGGGGGGCCTGGATTTTTACTCTTGGAAAAATAGCATGAAGGGATCAGTAACCAGTAAGGTATCTTCGACAGCACACTTTCGTTTCAATCTCACATCAACGATATTACCCGGTCTGCTCATTTGCGTAACATTTCCCGCCACCGTCCATCTCTTATTCCTCACACCACTGCCATCCTCGTCCACAGCCTCGTTACATCCAGGATTGATTATTGCAACTCACTTCTCTTTGGTCTCTCCAGCAAATGCCTCCATAAACTGCAGCATGTGTCATCACTAACACTCCATCATCTCATCACATTAGACCCATCCTGCAACAACTTCACTGGCTGCCCATTAAACAGAGAATTAGTTTCAAAATTCTGCTCATCACTTTCAAAGCTCTTCATAACCTGGCTCCATCCTATATGACTCAAATACACAGGCTGAAGCAGTGGAGGAGGTGGAGAGGCAGAGCAGGAAGGTGCATCTCCACCCCACGGCACACTCCACAATTAAAATAATTCCTAATTCCTGTACCTCATCAGAGGACCATTTCTCGGTGTTCTGACAAAACAAACAAACACCAGAGCTACAGATGCAGAGTACCGTGCCAGATTTGGACAAAGTCTGTTGAAAAACATAAGATTTTGGTTAAAAGAGCTAGGCTAAACTGGCAAACTCAACTAAAACCTTACAAACATTCGTATGTGAATTTAATTTTTGCTTGAAAGGTATTGGCCAGACTCGGCATTAAAATGGTAGAAATTCAGTATAACTACACTTTACCATCTACATAAATATGAACTGGGTTCAGTTTTTCATTTTGTTAAGGAATTTTGTCATAATTCATTACAGAAAATCAAAATCCTCTCCTCCAGAGAGTGAAGAACTGCGTTCCGCCTACATCACTCCAACACATAAAACAAGGTAGCTGCTGATGCTAGTATTGTGAGTAACTGTATTTTGTTTACTTGCGTGCTCCTAATTATTAAGGAAAATTGCGTTTACAGCTGCAGCAAAAGGTCTGAGCCATGTGTCCGTGTCCTACACTCATTTTTAAATAACATAGGTCTGATCTAAAATAACCTACATCTATGAATCCATCTAGAACCGCATTGCTAGTTCTGGGCTCTGGATTAGTACAAACGAGTCAAACTAAGGAGTTACTCCAGCATCAGGAAGATTTATTCTGGTGAGCTATTAGTTATATATTTTCCAGAGTTATACCAATATGTACATGGAGCGGTAAAACTGGCAGCACACATATCTGTAGATTACTGAATTATATTGGTTCACATGATGGAGCTAAGACCAGGTGAGGACTCGTCAGCTTAGAGCTCCCAGTGGAGCACAGAAATGAAATATTAAACAAAAGTAAACAAACTGTACCGGTTTTGGTTCTGAAGATGAACTGAATCCACCTCGATGTTCAAATCGGGCCGCGGGTCTTCAGAGTCAAACGGTCTAAAATATGTCTGCACCTCCGGTAGAGATATCCAGCTAGCGGGATCAGAGTTCGGTTGAACTTCTACGGTAATCCAGTATCTGTTCTTGCCGCCGTATCTCAGAGAAAAACCTAATCTGACTGACTAGTAGAGGCTTCAGAAGCTACATCTGACTGATGACACATTGTTCTCTGCCATAACTCTAACGCAGAAACACCGGAGTCGGGGGTTATTTACTATAGCTCTTTCAGCAGATCTCCTTGTGGAGCGTCACCAGCTGCCCAGGACATAAACCGGAAGTTAGTTTCTGTTTTTCCCGCGCCAGTCAAAAACCTCAGATTTTCTTAAAATTCCAGCCGTGAAAATCCCAAAACCTTTTTCATCTGAGGTTTTAATACTTCTTTATACATGCCATTCAAAGGAATTTTGCCTCTGGCCAATATCTTTAATTAAGCGGATTCCTTCAATTATAATGTGTTGATGACGTTATAAAACTGCCAGTAACATGTTTAGGTGTTAACAGGTGCCAGCACCTGTTGTTGGCCTTGTTCTTCTCCATCTGTTCACTCTGATGAACGTGCCAGTCCTCCAGCTCCTTCTTAGCCTTCTCCCTCCACTCCTCCTCTGCTGCCTTGGAAGCTGAGTCTTTATATTGGATTCAACAAAAAACATATTTTTAAGTTTCTTCAACAAAAACATGTGACAACAGTAAGAATTCACAGACGACTTTCTACCCAATGCTTCAAGGCGAGACCTCTGCTCCTCCCTCCACTTGCGTAAACTTTCAGGCTCTTGTCTCTGAATATCCACCTGGGCGATGGCTGCGTAGCCGTCTGTGGGACCATTCGATTCCTGCCTCAAACAAAAACAAAATACTGCCTTCATTAGACGATAGGCCCATTGCATTCACACAAGACAAATTTGAAAGTTATCTGATCAAGTACCCTTTAAACAAAGACGAAGGTGGATTGCATTAAATGTGAGAAACAGAACTGATCTCACCTGAAACAAATCTCCGTTCACTGAGGTAGACTCGTCTTCAAAGTCATCAAACATAATGATTGAAGAGACAAAGATAGAAAGATGAGATGTTTGGAGCAGCCAGCCAGCCTTCCTGACTATCTGCTGCTGTTCGTTAGTTACTGCACTTTAAAAACCAGTTGACGCTCAGAAATGCAGCTTTTCCCGTTTGGGCACTGATGTTTTTTATGTTAGCTAACGAAACAGGACTTTCGGTTAACATCACTTCGTTTTATCTGCGCACGCAAACTTTGACATCAGGCAAATGATATGTCGTAGCCTCACACGAACTGGAAAAATTCAGGTCATCGGAGAAAACATTTTTTAGGTGACAAACGACTCGCTACTATTATGTAGCTTCATTACAATGTCACGTTCCCGAATATTTCTTTATATGTAATCAGAGTTAAATAAATGTGTCATGGTTACCGGTTTGACATCTCTTGATAACTGCCATCATACGAAGCCGGTATGCTAAGCACTCTAGCTAGCTAGCTAGGCAACAACTAATGTAAGATCATTTAAAACCGTACCGCCGTTCAAATCTGTTCCATTCTTATTCCACGCGACTAAACAAAACAGTCGTGTTGGTTATCAACTATACTAGTCGGTTATGCTAAGTTAATTTGTATAATTTTGTGGCGAGTAGCACGGTACGTGATAGCTAGCTAGCTCGCTAGCCGTTAGCCGAGTCACAAACTTACCGTAGTTAACTGTCTGCAGATGAAACGGCTGTAGGTCCTCGCTGTCGTTCTCAATCCCTGCTATCTCATTCTCCTGTTGGGCCAGGAAAGCTGCGGCCGGGTCCTCTTCGACCAGGTTTACTCCGTTGTTAGCCATATTTCACAAAATGTTCAAGTTTAACTGAGGCTAGTTGCTGTAGTAGTCGATCCTGATTCCTAAATTAAACAGGACACTTAGTTCAGCAACTTTTAACAAACAGCTTAATGTGTTGGGGGTAGATTTAAAAATCTCCGCGGAAAACCGAGCTAGCAATTAAGTCTATAAACAATACAGGTTGTAATTTAAGGCCTTCAGGTGATTCATTTCTCCACTTGTTTATCCACTGTAATACTGGCAGAAGGGACTCCGTGGGACCACTGACAATTTGTTGTAGGTTGTCGCCACCTGCTGTCCATAGTCGGAATGGACCAGACTGAATTACAGCATTATGTGCTTAAAAATTAAAAAAGGTATATATATATTTTTTGATTGATTTAATAGATTTAACGAACATTTCAACTCAACAGGTGAGATTACAAGAGACGACTCTTTGCCGTGATTTAGCACTATATAAAAAAAAGAAATAAAAGGGATAGACATGGGCCTTGTTCGAGATGAGCAGCACCTTGCCTGGAAAGAGACAGGTGAAGACGGATGCATCAGGGTGAATGGCTAAAAGCCCCCATAATTCCATAGACATCAATATATATGTACCGTATGTGCATAAATCGGGTCTGGATATGAAGCAAACAATGAAGTGACAGAAATTGCAGTTCCACCCTCATCCGCTAGGGGCTGGTGTCAGAGGTGAGTCAAGCCTCATTGACTCCCATGTAAAAAATGCCAATTTCACAGCAGAAATAAACATGTTTACAGCCTGGTCACGAAAGCATATTTTAGGTTTAATAGATCTAGTTTACACTCATGACAACTCTGAGGGTCCCTGTGCTCTGAGGCAGCTCGTGGATCTTTGGGACTTGGAGCTCCCTCCATCTCCTACACATCTTTGGGGGCAGATTTGTGGCCTCTCACACTCTATTGGACGCTCCTATAGAGAAAGCTTACATATACAAGCGTGTGAACGCACACAGGTGCTCACATGGTGCTCTCATAAGTACGGGCTTTGGCATTTTCAACACAAAGGTCTTAAGGCTATGGTTGGCACTAAATGCACTGATTTATTGTTGTGTGATTGTTCAGTAAAACAATGTTGATTTTTATAGTTCCTCATCAGGTTGATGCAGTCATGGCGAGCTCTTTAAACATCTTTGGTACGTTCTTGCTGTGTCTGATTTCTAATTCCATTTTTGGTTCTTTTTTAAAACACAGAAAAGGTTTCTTTTTACCTTGCTTGCTGACAGTTTCATCCGTGGTTGCAAACTTCCTCAGAGCTTGCTCTTGTATTGTTGTGTGTTTTTTCTCTTTCTGCAGGTCTAGAAGCAGACTCTTGTTCATCATTGATTGTTTATTTTTGTGGAACTTTTGCTGGAGCGGTTCGCAGCCGAGTGTGAAGCAGCTGGCATGAGAATCAGCGCCTCTAAATCTGAGACAATAGTCTTGATTTGAAAAAGGGTAAGAATGCCTTCTCTGGGTCAGGGATGAGGTCCTGCCCCCAGTGGAGGATTTTAAGTATCTCGGGGTCTTGTTCACGAGTGAGGGAAAGTTGGAGCGCAAGATCGATAGGCAGATTGGTGCGGTGACTGCAGTGATGGGGGAACTGTACCGGTCTGTCATGCTGAAGAGACAGCTGACACAGAAGGCGATGCTCTCGATTTACCGGTTCCTACCCTCACCTATGGTCACGAGCTTTGGGTAGTGACTGAAAAAACAAGATCGCAGATGCAAGCGACCAAAATTAGTTTTCTCCGCTGAGTGGCTGGGCTTTCTCTTAGAGATTGGGTGAGAAGCTCGGAAGAGTAGATCTGCTGCACCTCCACATCGAGAGACGCTAGTTGAGGTGGCTCGGGCATCTGGTCAGGATGCCTCCTGAACGCCTCCCTGGTGAGGTTTTCCAGGCACATCCAACCGGGACGAGGCCTAAAGGGAGACCCAGGACACGTTGAAGGGACTATGTCTCTCACCTGGCCATGGAATGCCTTAGGATTCCCCTGGAAGAGCTGGCCCAAGTGGCTGGGGAGAGGGAAGTCTGGGCCTCTCGACTTAGGCTGCTGCCCCCGCGACCCAAACCTGGATAAGCAGAAGAAAATGAATGGATGAATGGATGGCTATACACTCACCTAAAGGAATTTTAGGAACACCATACTAATGGTGACGGTGGGGGCCATTGTGGTAGTGAACTCATTGTCATGTTCAAGAAACCAATTTGAAATGATTCTAGCTTCATGACATGGTGCTCCTGCTGGAAGTAGTGATCAGAGGATGGGTACATGGTGGTCATGAAGGGATTGACATGGTCAGATACAATGCTCAGGTAGCCTGTGGCATTTAAAAAATGCCCAATTGGCACTAAGCGGCCTTAAGTGTGCCAAGAAAACAACCCCACACCATTACACCACCGCCACCAGCGTTTTAGCCCAGAATCTGGCTCTACCATTTAAATGTCTCATCAGAAATCGAGACTCGTCAGACCAGGCAACATTTTTCCAGTCTTCAACTGTCCAATTTTGGTGAGCTTGTGCAAATTGTAGCCTCTTTTTCCTATTTGTAGTGGAGATGAGTGGTACCCAGTGGGGTCTTCTGCTGTTGTAGCCCATCCGCCTCAAGGTTGTGCGTGTTGTGGCTTCACAAATACTTTGCTGCATTCCTCTGATGTAATGATAATAAGCAGTAAGCAAAGATTCCTCGCTTCTGATTCAAAAATAAACTTTTGCTATTAAATTTAATTACCTTAAAATAATATTAATCTTTGGATTAAAAATAGACCCAACAGGTTGGTGTATGAACTTAGATCGATTATATAAGTATCCGGGATATTTATACACGATCTAAGCCTCATAGGTTAATCTGCTTGGTCATTCTCAGAATCTCCAACTGAATAGCAACAGTGCTGATTCTAGTAGTTAACTCTACACAGGTGTCCGAGCAGTTCTTCAGAGCATGTCACGATGCGAGGAAGGAGATGGTATGGACCCAAAATGAAGATACCCAGGATGACACGAGGCAGAGTGAAAATTAAGAAGAATCCTTTATTTAGGATGAACCAAAAAATATATATCCAAAGGCTGGGAGCCAAAAATCCAAAAATGTCCAATTACTGAACTAGAGCACTAGAGACACGAGAAGACTGACGGAATACCACATTGGACCGACACAACACTGAGACAAGGAGAGGGTTTTATACACTGGGGCTGGAGCATCGACATAAATATACTGGACATCTCCATTCCATAGGCTCTAATATCACATTTTTGTACTAAAATGGGAGGTGGCCACCACCGCCATTTTGACCGTGTCACAGGTTCCGTCAAGCCCCGACAATTCCAAAAAAGGGAAGAGAGGTGGAGCTGAGGGTGGGGCTGTAAGGCTGGGATCAACTGACGACACCCGGTCGAACTATCTACAAGCTAACCTGAAGCTAACCCAAAGCTAACGCGGAGGTGGGAGCTAAGCTAACGGAGGTAGCAACCTAGCTACAACCGGAGTTAACTGCACAACACCAGAGCTTCTGAGTCAGAGATACGCCGGGCTGACCGCTAGGTAAAACCGGGTGGAACACAGAGGTCACCGAGAACTCCACAAGCCGGCTGCCGCACAGCAGACAAGCGCCGCTGCGATCTGAGATGCGCAGAGCTGCCGCTGGGGAGAACTGGGTCGAAAGGTTTCCATCCCAGAGCTCCACAAGCCGTCAGCCCGCGCAGCACACAGAAGCCTCGATCAGACAGAGATGCGCCGAGCTGCGGGGAGAACCAGCCGTCAGCCCGCGCAGCACACAGAAGCTGCGATCAGACAGAGATACACCGAGCTGCGGGGAGGGAAGAATGGGTGGAAAACATCGGTCTCCCGAGAGCTCCACATGAGCCAAGTAAGGTAAGGTAAGGAAATGCCATCAGAGGAGCCGTCTGCCCCGGCAGCATCAGGTCTTCCACAGCAACTAAGTCAGGGCGCTCAGAGGAGGGAGAGCATATACCCCAACTTCCACTCAAACACCACCTGTAGAGCGCCCAGGAAGCAACAGTCGAACACCGCCCCTGGGGCAGAGGGCTCCTACAGAGAAAACACTGTATTAAATTGAGTAAAAATATGAAAATAAAAGAGCTGATATAAATCACTAAAGTAAGAAAATAAATGATAAATAAAATATATGGAGAGTAAAATAATACTATAATTAAATCAATGCTTAGTGATGTGAGGTCAAACTCAGTTCAGAAGAGTGAGGTGAATGCTCACTTCACTCTCCTGTGCCGCTCAGAATGGCCAATTCAATTTGAATTATGAAACACTATGCAGGGCAGGCATGAAAAAGACAAATCAGTTCCTCTTTCTTTATCCTTTTCATTAAGTCACAGAATGGGCAATGAAGAAGAAGAAAATTAAAAAGCAGTTTAGAGGATTGTTATATCATTTTAATTGTGAGTCACACTAAGCAGTTGTAAAAAGAAAATGAAAATGCATTTCTGCTAATATATTTTAATTTTCAGATTTGACATTTCAAATAGAATTTTGTTACACATTTGCTGGAGTGTTATTTGAAAATTAGTTCTCAAATGCCTTTTTCTTTATCATTTTCATGAAGTCACAGAATGGGCAATGATAAATAAGAAAATTAAAAAGCAGTTTTGAGAAATGCTTTTTCATTTTGATTGTGTCACACTAAGCAGTTGTGTAGTGAATATGAAAAAGCATTTCTTCTAATGCAGTTTAATTTTCAAATTTGACATTTCAAATAGAATTTTGTTACTTTTTGCTGGAGTGTTATTGGAAAATTACATCTTAAATGTTTTTTCTTTATCCTTTTCATTCAGTCACAGAACAAGCAATGATGAAGAAGAAAATGAAAAAGCAGTTTAGAGGACTGCTATATCATTTTAATTGTGAGTCACACTAAGCAGTTGTAAAGTGAAAATGAAAATGCATTTTTGCTAACGCAGTTTAATTTTCAGATTTGACATTTCAAATTGAATTGTTACACATTTCCTGGAGTGTTATTTGAAAATTAGTCCTCAAATGATTTTTTCTTTATACTTTTCATGAAGTCACAGAATAAGCAATGATGAAGAAGAAAATTAAAAAGCAGTTTGGAAGATTGCTCATTAATTTTATTTACGAGTCAAATTTGGCAGTGGTAATATAAAATGAAATATCATTTCTGCTACTGCATAATAATAAGAGTTTTGTTACACATACGCTTCCATAAATCTGCACTTTAGCGAGAGAACACGGGTTTCTGCAAAATGAAAAAGCCAATCATAGGAGAGCCTTTCTAGCCTATGAGAGGCGAGAAAGGCGGGACCTTCCTTGGACATCCTACGATTCCAAATTACGCATGTGACAACGTCTATGTTGTTACACAGAAGCTAACATTGTTCGAGGCTTGGAGGATTACGCTCATTGCAATATTGCAATGACTTGGGGTCAGCACGGCCTCTCATCCCGGTTGAGGACAATAACATATTTTGCTGACCAGACATTGGGGCTTCTTGTAGCCCGGGATCACGTGACCGGTGACGTTACAGAAGCCTCATGCTAAAAGGAATTTCAGAACTTCATCGTTCAGCAGGAGTAACCGTGGCGGCCCCTTTAAGAGGTTTGAGACGTTCCGGACAAAGTAACTATTTATTCATCATTCGGCAAAAAAACAACAACCATACTAGTGAAGTCTGTCGGAACTAGTGAGGGCAACGAGGTAAGCGTTTTTAAACCTTCCTGACCGGAACAGCGTCTACATACTGTTTTAACGAACTTGACGCAGTTGTCAACCATTGACGTGTTCCCCCCCCCCCCCCCCCGTTTCAGTTCTTTTGCCTGTTTTTTGTTAACTTATGAGTTTTCTAGTTTATTATCCTGTCTGTTGTGTCGCTAAGTGTTCCCAGCATGAAGCTTCATTAACACTCGTATTAAAGGGACATTGTGTAGTTTATATCATTAGTCTCTAGAAATAGCCATCGAAATGTTGTTGTAAACTAATTAAAAGATGCCCGGTTGTTGAAAAATATTGGCGGTTTCTTAACATATAACCATATAAATATGTTTTAAAATATTTCGGAGCGAGTCTAAGGGTGTTTCTCAATGAGGAACCTCGTCTTGGTCCCCGGTTGCCTAGGAGATACGTCATCAGAAACTGCCAAGGCCTGTTCCACTGGGTGTTTCTCAGTGTCAAGGCGCCTGGCCTTGTAAGGTGATGTCTTGCGACGCCAGGCGCCTTGCTTACGAGGACACTGTCCATCCTTGGTCAAAGAAAACGGTTAAATGGAACAGACTTGCATCACGTGACCACGGCTTACATGGCGGTCACGTAACGTCACATGACATGGGAGAAAACGTTATATTCTACCGAGGCGTCTGTTCTTCGTTTGTTAGCCATTTAGCTAGCTGAGCAAGAATACACGAGAGGTGTCTTGTAGGTTACCTTGGTCAAAATATTCCCAGAATACAGCGTGATATTTTCAAAAGGATGGCGGATAAGAAGCCGGCAACTACTTCAGGGGCAAATTTCAAGTTTAAATCAAAGATACTTTTATTAACCCCAGAGGGAATTAACATGTAAGTCAAATCATTGTAGTGATCGGGCTGATATCTAAAATGTTATTTTTTTTCAATCCAAAGAAGTTGTCTATGGTTGGTTAGTTGTTTAGTAGTTGCAGCTTTGGTGGCTAGCAGGTAGTAACTCACAAATATATACACACTTTAAAAAGTAAAAGGTTCATTATATATTTATATTGAAACATATGCGCATAAAATATAACGTTTTCTCCTGTGTCATGTGGTGCAAGTCTGTTCCATTGAACCGTTTTCTTTGACCAAGGAAGGACAGTGTCTTTGTAAGCAAGGCGCCTGGCCTCGCAAGGCCAGGTGAAACACCCCCAAAGTCTCTGGGCAATGCCATATTGGATGCCATGTTTCATGCTACGAAAGGGCGTGAGAAAAAAACACATTTACTGATTTATATCAAATGGTTAAAAAACTTCCACCAATAATAAACGTTGTTATTTTACACATTTACTTCTTCACTCTTGGCGGTGATGAAAGGGAATCTGATGTGCTTGTCATTTTGCTGGAGTTTGCAATCCCTGGGATTTTTTACCCTAATGGCCATCTGTTGGTAAGGTCTTATTTGAACACAAAAATAATGCGTACTTGCAATGATTTAGGTACGTACTGCCCCCTATCATCAGGGAAAATAAACACTCTCATTAAAAACATTGAAAAGTCTAAAAGCTGTTAACTCCCGTGCATATCTTGGCTTCATTGGTACACAATGGGGCATTATAATTATAAATCAATTGAGTTTTTTTTACATTAGACCAAAATGAACCGAAACATTTACTATGAGCACTGTGATGTATTATTTTTGTACATTTAATTGCAGCACTATGATCATCATCAAGCTAAGCTGTTTAAAAGAGCTTATCATTTTGTAATGTGGTGTGAGAAAATCTATTTCATGTTTTAAGCAGTTTTCATCACAAATATGTGCAGCTTTTGGTGTTTTATTCAGAGTGATGCTTTTTGGTAGCTGAAACTCTAGAAGGCACATATTCTGACTTCTATTGAGAATATTGACCCTAACCCTAAATAGTTCAAAGTTGGTGCCAAAGCCGTTTTAAACGAGCTATCGCCATCTTAGTTTCGCTCAGTGTCAATAAGAATCCGCCCACCAAACTGAGAGTGCTGTGATTGGCACGCCACCAGACTGGTTATGGGCTCCAGAGGTTCCAGTGGAGCGTGGCTAGACCGACATGCAGAGCAAAATCATTTTGCTTCTGCTACCGTCTGTCTAGATTTCTAGACTGGGGTCCTCAGCTTGTTGCTTACTTTTTATTAGATCAAAACTGATTTTTATTAATCAACTTTATTATCTATGAGTACACCACTGTTTCAGTGTCACTAAAAAGGAGCTGCAATGGGGCTTATATGATTTGATGTTTTAAATCTAATTGTAGGTTTGGTTTGTGATTTGCTTCGAACTATCCTGAAAGACGGTAGACTTCCATGGCTTGAGTTGTCTTTCTCCTGGATCTCCAGTACATATACGGAACAAACCAAGTGAAAAAGTTAATATGTGATGGACCTTTGCATGAGTTTTGGTATAGTTGATGTTGCTCCCCACCCCCCAGGCCTGTGACTCATGTGGGTGTTGGGCTGAAATAGTTTGGTGTAGTTTTACATTCCTTATATAGCCTCTAAGGATTGAGGAGAGGCTGAAGGCTTGCCTGTGTCACACGTAGCAGCAGCAGAGGCAGAAACTGCTTGTCCCAGCAGATCACTGACTCCGGCTTTCTCCCAGGTTGGCGCTACCAGCTGGTCCTTAAGCATAAGGTAGGTGGGCATGGTGATACCGAACAATGATGCCAGGTACGGCCAAGGAGAAGGAGGAGCAAGGGCTGGAGCAGGGGGGTCAAAGGTCATGGTTACAGCAATGACACTGCCTAACATAGAAAGCTAGCTTTGTTGAGGTAGTCATATTCTATGGGCCTTGTAATTAAATATCAGAAAAGGACAAACAGTCCCACTCTGTTTTAGTGCTTAAATGTTGTACAAATGACCTGAAACAGTAATAAATGTCAAGTTGTTGGGGTACAACGGCTCATCGTAGATCCGTGATCCGTACGGATCTCTCTCTAAGGTTTGACACGCGCAATGTTTGCGGATTGGTCAGGTGGAAGGCAGATGCGCTACCTGTTCAGTCCAAAGAAGAAATGCACAGCGATGGTCATGACGGAGAAGGAGAGGAGCTTGAAAAAGCACCTGAATCTTTTAGGTTGCATGTACTGGGGCATTTTGGCTCGCCTGTAAAATACAATGGTGATGCAAACGGCAAAAAATAACTCATTCACGTGCCTCCAGTCTGACGGCATGGTGCAGCACTACACACACACACACACACACACACACACACACACACACACACACACACACACACACACACACACACACACACACACACACACACACACACACACACACACACACACACACACACACACACACACACACACACACACCTCCGATCACTGTGAAAGGAGTGTGGGAGGGGGTGGTGCATGAAACTGGCCCTAGACATAACATAAATGTAGCGGGACCTGTATTTTTACGTATTTTATTTATGTAACCTATTTAACCAGATGAGTCGATTGAGAACTCATCCTCATTTACAACCACGCCAAGAGGCAGCAGCAACAGAAAATATTGTTGGGGACAAATCTGTAAAAAGCGACAAAAGAAAAAAAACAGCGCATCAGAAAGGTGAGGAGATCAGTGAAAGCTGTACACGAAGGGAAAGCGTGTCTATGTAGGGCAAACCGTTTTAACAGTTAATCAGCAATCAAACCTGTAGGGCAAACCGTTTTAACAGTTAATCAGCAATCAAACCTCTGTAACGCCTGCTTTTATAGCAAGTTGCTAATTGGTCAGAAAATGTTTCACTAAGTGTTGTACAAAATAAAGAGACAGCAAAGCTATTTGTTTTTTCTTTTCTTTCTCTTTCTGCTGATCTGAAACATGATCCGATCGGTGATTGAAAACCATTATATGATCCGAACCGCGAGATTTTTGATCCGTCGCACCACTGTCAAGTTGAGTACTTTACTTTGTTCTCTATTCTCATCCTGAAAGTGTTGCTGCTGTTCTCGGGTCCCATTAGATCTGTTATACCAACAGTTTAGCCCATGTACATGTAACTAATTCATTAATGATTATGCACAGGGACAAAATAGATGTACAGGGGAAGGATTTGTTGGTGCACGAGGTCTGAATTTCTCTCAGGCTCCAGAACGCAGTGATCTTCCTGGACTCAGTGTATGGCGTAGGTTGTTGGACTGCTTTCACTGTATTGTGAGGAAATGTGTTTTGTATAATTTCGTAAAAAAATATTTTACAATAAAACTGTAAACTGTTTTCGCTGCAATTCATCCTGAAAGTAACAAAATGACCCAGAGTGCTATTTTTTCCTTTTTTGGTTTGGAATGCCTTTGTGTTGAAAACAAAGCAGCAAAGATACTCAGACATATCAGGAAGGAACACTTGGCCTTGGAAACATTTCCTCTTAGCTTTCTTGCTAATTTACACATGTCATTTCCCCCCTGTCTTCCTCAAGGCTATGAACATGTACACTGTCACCCTGAGCGGCCCAGCACCTTGGGGCTTCAGGCTGCAGGGGGGCAAGGACTTCAGCATGCCCCTCACCGTGTCAAGGGTAAGAAAACATATTTTAATCAACTTTGGAGGAGAGACGATGAGATTGTGTTCAACGACTTCCTGGTAATTCTGCATGTGAAGGCTCAGTAAGAAGTCTTGTTTTTCTCTCAAGTTTCTGTGTGAATGTTGGCTGATTAACAGAAGCGTGCACACACACACACACACACACACACACACACACACACACACACACACACACACACACACACACACACACACACACCTGCTCCCCTTCACAATAGGTATCGTCAGCAGGCTGTGACATATTTTCATAAGTTACTCAAATTTTTATGGTTTATGGTGTCAACCTTAAAGGGACATTTTGGCCATTTTGAGATTTGTTTCTTTGTAAATGTTATAAATGATCACTTTCTAACTCAATTATGAATAGCTTAGTTTGGAGAAATAGTTTACATTCGACAGTGTTGATGAGCGGAACAGCCTGAGCCTGGTTCTGCAGCTCCAATCTCCAACATTTATGAAGGTTAATGCAGATGCTGTTTTTGTAATCTTCACACAGGATTGGGGGGGGGGGGGGGGGGGGATTATGACACGTCTCACCATTATGTTAATATTGTTTTATTTGATGCACTCCACTTTGAACTGTACTAATCCAGCAACTGCTGCATTTTAATAACTAGTATTAGAGGTGAGTACACCAATATTTGCACAAGAATAATTTTTGTTTTAAACTCTCAGTGACACACTTTGCAGGGGGGGGTTTGGCATTTAATTTTTCTTGGCGTCTGGAAAAACATCTCCTTTCCCCCCCTTTATTTGACTCTCTGCCCTCTTTATTTTGGTCCAAGATCATTACTGGGCTGGCCCTATTAAAAACGTTCTACACCCCTGCTTAGGAGACTTAATGAAGTATTTTTAAGCCAGTATAAAAATTACTAAAACACATATTTACATATTTGGCATTATTGACCAACATCTGCGCGCAGGTGGGGGGAGGGGGGACTCTGTGCTGCACACAGACAGCTGGTGTGATCAGCTCTGAAAGCATTGATCACAATTTGCAGTTCACGTTTATTTTTCATGGAGATCAGCCGCGGATTCCTCTTCCGACCTGCATACTAAGAATTGAAACTAGGAATTTCCGGGAAAAACTAGCAGTTGGTCCCGGTTCCAATCGATGCTCGATCCTCAATGCCCAACCCTAGTGTTAAGAATGTTTCATTAAATTATTTTCATTTAATAATCAGTACGTTCTACTTTTGGGGACTCGTCAACACGTATGACTAAGGGAGTACTCGTGGTACGAGAAAACGGCTAAGGGGATCCATGAGTCCTAGGTTAGGTACCACTGCTGTAAGGACTGTACCACGCTAATGTGTAAGCACCATTAGAAAGTTAAACCATTCAGTCCGTGCCTCCTGCCTCTCTTCTCTTACCCCCCACCATGCAACACTGAACATTGAACTTTGATCTTAGCATATGTATTTAAATACAAATGTTTTATCCGTTAGCGTTATTTTAAGCGTTGTCAGTTTTTATAGCCGTTTTTTTTATTTTTGTGGGATTTAAGGCTTTTAAATTCTTATAATTTATTTTGTCAGTGTTATTTTAAGCTGTGTTGGTCTTCGTGTTTTAATGCAGTTTTATTGCACTAAAGGTCAGAGTGAAATTGCAGTTTAGATTCTCTGTATGTATGTGCTGTACATGTAGTAGAATTAACAATAAAGTTGATTGAGTGACATTTATGAAATGGCCAGCTTTGTTCACTCTGTGGTGTTTCCTTTTGCAGAGGGAACTGGAAGTCAGTTCCAGATCATACTCGCTGAATTCTCCCTCCTTTAGTCATAGTAGAGCACTAAAACGTGGCAGTCAAATACAGTCTTAACTGCACAAAGTGCGCTGTCTGTTGCATGTAGCATCACATTGCAGTGTGTGTGTGTGTGTGTGTTCTTAGCTGATGTAATCCTGTGATGATGACAGCAGTTATCACCCTCCGTGTCAGTGCATGTCTTGGTTTTGCCCAGCTCGCTGGCAGACACCCTGGTTAGAAACACAATGTTCCTCTTTGGATTTATAACAACAAACTTTTTACGTCATCTACAAAAGATAAAAGAAATGTTCTTTAAATGTTATTCGATATGGGATGTGAAAGTTTTAGCAGCCTTGTTAATCTTCATGACTTTCTTCTATAAATAATTGGTTGTTACACTGAACAAAATTATAAACCCAAGACTTTTGTTTTTGCTTCCATTTTACATGAGCTGAACTCAAACATCTGAAAATTTGTCTACATACACAAAACACCCATGACTCTGAAATATTGTTCTGAAATTTGTCTACAAGTGTGTGTTAGTGAGCACTTTTCTTTTATCAAGAAAATCCACCCCACCTCACAGATGTGACGTATCAAGGGGCTGATTAGACAGCATGAATAATGTACAGGTGTGCCTTAGACCCCCTGAGTGTCCAGTTGGATTGTACTTATTATAGCATGCCCTAATAGACCCCTTAAATGTAATTGTTTACATCCCAAATCATACCGAAAACTTAAAGGTATTAGCCAGACTCGGCATTAAAATTGTAGAGATTCAGTATAACTACACTTTACCATCTATATAAATATGAACTGGGTTCAGTTTTTCATTTTGTTAAGGAATTTTGTCATAATTCATTACAGAAAATCAAAATCCTCTCCCCCAGACAGTGAAGAACTGTGTTTCGCCTACGTCACTCCAGCACATAAAACAAAGTAGCTGCTGTTGCTAATATTGTATATAACTGTATAGGACCAGTAAAACCACCGTGCCGTCCTGTCGTCGTCATCTTCCTCTGCTTATCTGGGTCGCGGGGGCAGCATCCCAACTAGGGAGCTCCAGACCGTCCTCTCCCCAACCACCTCCACCAGCTCCTCCGGCAGGACCCCAAGGCGTTCCCGGACCAGATTGGAGATGTAACCTCTCCAACGTGTCCTGGGTCGACCCGGGGGCCTCCTGCCGGCAGGACATGCCTGAAACACCTCCCCAGGGAGGCGTCCAGGAGGCATCCTGACCAGATGCCCAAACCACCTCAATTGACTCCTTTCGATCCGGAGGAGCAGCGGTTCTACTCCGAGTCCCTCCCTAATATCCGAGCTCCTCACCCTATCTCTAAGGCTGAGCCCGGCCACCCTACGGAGGAAACTCATTTTGGCCGCTTGTATCCGCGATCTCGTTCTTTCGGTCATTACCCAAAGCTCATGACCATAGGTGAGGACTGGGACGTAGATCGACCGGTAAATCGAGAGCCTGGCTTTCTGGCTCAGCTCCCTCTTCACCACGACGGATCGGCTCAGCGTCCGCATCACTGCAGACGCCGAACCAATCTGCCTGTCGATCTCCCGATCCCTCCTACCGTCACTCGTGAACAAGACCCCGAGATACTTAAACTCCTCCACTTGAGGTAGGACCTCTCCCCCAACCCGGAGTTGACAAGCCACTCTTTTCCGGTCGAGAACCATGGTCTCAGATTTGGAGGTGCTGATCCTCATCCCATGCCGTCCTTGATTAGTGCAAACAACGAGTCGAGCTAGCGAGTTACATTCAGCATCAGGAAGATTTATTCAGTTAAGCTGTCGGTTAAATATTTTCCAGAGTTATATCAATATGTACACGCAGCAGTAAAACTGGCAGCACATTATTGTATTTATCTGTAGATTTCTGAATTATATTGGGACACATGGTGGAGCTAAGGCCTATATTCAGCTGAACTTGTCAGCTGAGAGTTTCCGGTGAAAGCACAGACATTAAATATTTAACAAAAGTTAAAAAACTGTGCCGATTTTGGTTCTGAAGACGAACAGAATCCTCCCTGGTTTCCACATCGGTTCGCAGGTCTTCTGAGTCAAACTGACCCAAACATGTCTGCACCTCCAGTTATGATATCCAGCCAGCTGGGGTTGGAATTCGGTTGAACTTCTCCGGTAATCCAATGTCCGTTCTCGACGCCGTATCGCAGAGAAAACACAAGTCTGACCGACTAGCAGAGGCCTCAGAAGATACATCTGACTGATGATACATCTCTGCTATAACGCTAACGCAGAAACACGGAGTAGGGGATTGTTTTCAATAGCAATTTCTGCAGACTTCCTTGTGAAACGTCACCAACTGACTAGGGCTTAGACGGAAGTTAGTTTCTGGTTTTGCAGCGCTAGCCTGCAAAACTTTCTGCTAACCACTTAAACATTCTCCTTCTCCTGATAATAACATTTTAATTTCTTTGACATTGAATGTGCTACTACTAGTTTACCCATTTAATTATAGATTCACTAGGATAAATACAATAAAGTTTATCTCTCATCAAATAGAATATTTAGTAAGACATCACAATGTAACCATTGAAACATTACTTGGTATATTTTGTGTGTGTGTGTGTGTGTGTGTGTGTGTGTGTGTGTGTGTGTGTGTGTGTGTGTGTGTGTGTGTGTGTGTGTGTGCTCTGTCTTCTGGATCCCCAGTGAGTCGTGGAGGATGGCTGCTTATACTGAGCCAGGATCCTCTGGAGGTTTCTTCCTGTTAAAAGGGAGTTTTCCTCTCCACTGTCGCTGAATACTTGCTTAGTTTGAGGATTGCTGTAAAGACTCTGACACTAGTCAGTGACTTGATGCAATTTGCTGGGTTCCTCATACGGGAAACTTTTAACTGATCGGCTTAATGAACTGACCTGTATTGGAATGTTTACTGTGTGACGTGCCTTGAGACAACTCCTTTCATGATTTGGCGCTATATAAATAAACTTGAATTGAAATGAGGGTTGGCTGCTGCGCTCATGAGGGGGTGGGGGGTGTGATTTTAACTCACGACAAAAATAACATGAGGTGATCAGTGAAAAGTGTAAGGTAACCTGTATACTCCACAGAAACACAACTCAACAGAAAATTTATGGTGTTGGACGTGGGGCTGCAACAATGAATTGATAAAATCGATAAAAATCGATTAATTTGTTGTGCAAGTTTTTTTGTGTTGCTAAACCTTTATTTAACAGTCAGTCAGTTCATGTGTA